GAAAAATAGAGGATCGCATGGTTTTCAAGGGGAACAGACCGGGGAATGGACCATGTCATGGCTTCCCTAAAAGATTATTGCAAAAAAAAAAGGATTCAACGCTTACTCTGTTTCAGATTATTGTATTAGTAGCCATTCGAGGGCAAGAATCGGTTTCCTTGGTGACGATTATGCAAACTGTCGGGCGTCTGATTCAAAAATTGGCTTTGGCACTGTAGGTAGTCAACATCCATATTATTATTCGTGAGGAAATTTTGCATATCATGGTGGAAACAACAGAAACAAACTTGTCGAAGTGATGGGGTACATTCTTGTTCAATAACAGAAAGAGCTCTTTCACAAAACAGTCTTCATGACATTCGCCTTAGTTTTTAAATGTGAATTAAAACGCCTGAAAAGGAGCACTTGAACTACATACGGTCTAATTCAGTATTTAATAGCAAATGTTTAGTTTATAGAAAATAGTAAACTATACGAAATTAATGTGATCAAAACAATTCTTTCCTTTTCTTAAGTTTTTTAGTCTCATTTATCATGGTATCCCTTGAGTTTACGAAGAAGTGATTTAGAAAAACATTTAACTATAAAAAATTGCGATAAAATATTAAAAACATTTCAAGATTGCTAAAAAACGACGACATTTCTACGTTGGCTAAACGTCATTACCAAGTCAAAAACATATTTCTATGTTGCAGTCTCTATATACCAAAATAACAATGGGGGGATAAAAAGCTATACAGTAAGAAAAGAACAGTACTAATTAAACAAAAAGATTTGCGCTTATGAAGTCCATCTGGATATTTAAATTAGGCTTGAGATCTTTGCTGAACAGCATTTCAAATACTAAACAATCAAATTTTCTCTGGCACTTTCTTAAAACTCTAAATTGGTTTTCTTTCAAGAGGTGGTTGCTACCGTGAGCTTCCATGAAATGTCGACCGATGAATGTCCGGTCCTTGAAATCAAGAGAGCATTTCTGTCTCGTCGAAGACACCATATTGCATAATGGCTTTGATATCTTCACCGTATCTGAAACGTGGGCGGATTTATCTGTGTCTGACGCAAGCCTTGAGATCTCTGGTTACCAACTTTTCAGACAGGATCGTGGACAACATAAAGCTGGAGGTGGCTTGTGCACCTACGCCAAGTCAAACCTCAAGATTACTGTGCTTGAGAATTTATCATCTGCCTGCGACGATGACTTTCAACAACTTTGGCTAAGAGTTCAATGCAGAAAGTACAAATCGTTTTTGATCTGCAACACATATCGACCTCCACAAACGCCAAGCACGTGCTTTGAATCTCTTGCAAATAGCCTCACAGATGCATTACTCCTAGACTTAAATGATGTCTTTCTTGGTGACCTAAATTGCAATCTTTTAGCTCCTGACCCTGAGACTACCTCACTGCAGACCTTTATTTCAACATTTATTTTACAACAACTGGTTAAGAAACCCACAAGGATTACAGAAACCACAAAATCTTTAATCGACGTAATTTTGACGACAAACACAGATATTGTCAGCCTCAGTGACGTGCTTACCTGTTCAGTAAGTGATCACCATCTTGTTTACCTAGTATTAACGTTGAAGACCCTTCGACTCGAGCCCTCCTATGTTACCATCAGGAGTTACGCTAATTACAATGCAAAACAATTCAATGAGGATCTCTCACTTGTACCTTTTCATATAATATCTATGTTTGACGATTTTGATGACCAAGTGGAGACGTTCAACGCGTTATTTACCGATATTTTAGATGATAAAGCCCCTTTAAAGCGAGTAAAAATCACGTCAAGACCCAACCCATTTATTTCAGCTGAAATTCGCCAACTGATGAAGAACTGGGACCAATGGCATCGGTGAGCCATTAAATCAAATGACCGTCTTCAATGGAACGCATATCGTTTCTTCAGACAGGAAGTCAAGCGTGAACTACGAATTGCAGAAAAATCTTATGTGAGATCTCAGCTATTACAAAACAAAGGAAACACTATTGCAATTTGGAATATAATTAACAACTGCCTGCCAAAGAAGTCCAAAAGCCGCTCTATTATTCCTGACAACCCAATTTCCTTGGCAAATGGATTTAATGAATATTTAACATCTGTTGGAAGTTCAGCAGCTCAGGAAGCTTATGATCTTGCTTGTGTACATAATTATCATATTAATCCAGCAATGCCAACCCTTTTGCGAACGCCTGATGACTGCCCTGACTTATTTCGATTTCACCCCGTACTGGAGAAGGATGTTGAAGGTGTAATTAAGGGCTTTTCTTCCAACAAAGCACAAGGTCGTAATAAGATTACTACCCGCGTCCTCAAGGACTGTTTGACACTCATAGTACCAACTATTACAAGCATTATGAATAACTCATTTAGATCTAATTGTTTCCCGAAAGTATGGAAAATGGCTGAAGTTACTCCTGTGTTAAAGTCTGGCAACCCCGAAGATCCCTGTAATCACCGGCCCCTCTCATTACTGCCAATGCTATCTAAGGTGTCTGAGAGATTAGCTCAGCGTCAGTTTGTTGACTACATAACCACCAACAAGAAGCTATCTGAAAATCAGAGTGGTAATCGAAAATGTCACTCTACGGAAACTGCTCTCTTACACGTAACAGATGATTTTCTCATGGCCATTGATAAGAGTGAAGTGTCCGTTGTCGTGCTACTAGACTTGTCCAAGGCATTCGATAGTATCAGACATGATCTTCTCCTTCAGAAGTTACAGAGCATAGCTGTTGCCTCTTCGAGCTTGGGGTGGTTTCATAATTACCTGTCTGGTCGTAGCCAGCGAGTGCGCATTGGGGATACTGTCTCAGACCAGCTCCCTCTTAAATACGGAGTTCCTCAGGGTTCTATTTTGGGGCCTGTGTTATTTACCATCTATGTAAATGATCTCTTGTCCGTTCCAACCCACTGCAAGTCTGTGTGCTACGTCGATGACTGTAAACCATACCTATCCTTTCGCTCAATTGACATCGCTCGCGTATTTGGTTATCTGAACGAAGATTTGAGAGAAATTTGCCGATGGTGCTGCCAGAATTCCTTTTTAATAAACCCAGCTAAAACTAAAATCTTACTAGATGGTGTTCCTCAACTACTGCGGAAATTGCCTCCAACGTCAATTTCACTCTTGGG